ATAATAAAAATATATAATATACAATTATCTATGTTTAGTGATATATTGACATTTATTTTGACGCGCTCTACCGATGAATTATTAAAACAGAACCTTTAATATTTTAATTTTTTGGTGGGAAATTATTTCCCATTGCCCTATGGTGGGTTTACATTTTGAAAATATCTGCCTCTCCCATCATACGGTTCGCGAGCCGCCACTGTAGGTACCTATTTCCCTATTCTGCATATTGTCAATTTGTTGTTTGTCATTTTATGAAATGCCTTGTTATTATACAAAATACTTAGGAAATGTATGCACAAAAAAATATATTATACAGTTCTTTGAAAATCCTCAGGTATTATATAAAATTCCTGGGAATTTTATAAAATACCAATATTATACATATTGCCGCTAATATAATCATTATACGATAGAAATGTTCACATATTTGCTGTCCACTTTTTCATAATTTAACTATACACTCTCACAATGCATAAGAATAATATACGGTCTTATTTAAGTCGGTAAAAAAACGGTGTATGTTTTAATTATGGTTTGCTGATATTTATTAACAGTGCATAGTCACTACAAGTAATACGAAAAAAAACTTTTATTTTTTTTTTAAGTAGCATAAAATAGATATTATGATAATGCAATAACTTAACATTATGATGAACATTTATTTACATGCACCAATATAAAATTAAATATATTATTGCGAAATCAAATCATTATATTATGTATGATCGTCATAACCATTTTTATTATCTRTAGATAGGTACGCTTGAATATTTTATAGTCACAAGATTAAAAAGTTAAATACGTCTGAACATGTAATCTTATAATTTATTTTTTGTATATACAAGAGTGTTGGAAATATCTTACGACTTTGCGTGAAATTTATTAATAAGATAAATTATTTTTTTTTTTTTATTTTAGCACAATATGTCTTGTGATAATGGCATCATAATATCACATTTTAATGTGAATGAGTGTATAGAAACTGTTGATTTGTTGTTTCCTTGGTTTGTGCTCCTTATGTACATAACGTATCCATAATCTTAGACTATTATTTTATTCTTTTGAAAATGAAAATAGCAATACATTGGAACCTCTATACTATAACCTTAAAAAATATTTTATTGAATAGTTATTACTTATTACTTAACGAAACTATTAAACAAAATATCCTTCCATTTGTTATTTACAAGAAATTAAGTGGATTTTATATTTTATTTATTTTTTCATGGTTTTGAGGCTAATAAATAACAATATGAAGTGTTTGGAGATTATTTTCTATTAGAGCGCACTCATTTTAATGGTATCAGTATACTGATTAATTAACTATATGTAATTATTATTCTTATATTGTCAATTTTTTACGTTTATATTGAACATCAGCTATTACTGCTGCCTGTCGATCTACAATCTGTGTAAAAGTATCAATGTATAAATCACCGGTATATTGTTTTTA